CCGGTTCGCGCAGCGTCAATGCCCTCCTGCACGGAAAGGGGTGTCTACGATAGAAATGGAAGGAGCAACCATCACTATTCACCACTTTCAGCAATTCTTCGGCAAATTATGCACAAAATGTTTGCATCCAGGTTACAGCACGTCCAGATGCAGAACCAAACCGGAGAGCTTAGCCTTGGTTCGAGCGAGATCAACCAGAAGGTGAAAGGAAGAAGTGGCGCCAACCCATAGAGCAACTCGCGTGGACTTTAATGTTCACACGATGGAGGACCTGGTTAAGATGCTGCAATCTTACCAACCACCTCAGGTGACTGTGAAGCCCCTACTACCGGCTGAAGCTGAAGTGGTCGACTCAACTCGACCACCCGCACAGGTGACAGAGGTTGTCTCCACCGCTGAGCAGCAGTCCATACCCCGAAGAATCGAATCAGTAGCGACAACGTCGGACACGGCCGCCCCAAAGGGCACTTACGCAGAGACTGCCGCAGACCAAGCATTCATAACAAAAACACGAAAATCTAGAAAATCCAGAAAACAAAATCGCTAGGCAGCAACAAACCCCAATGCCCAACCATCGGAGGGCGCGGCGAAGGCGAGTCACACAACTGATACAGCCGCTCGTACACATACTCAGCCAGTCACGCGCGGACAACAGCATCAGGTCCCATGGCTCGCACTAACACCACTCATCCCGCAGCGGCATCGCGATCCACCACACTAAACAAAGGGCAGGACGCGCGTTTCGCTTCTTTTTTAAGGAACGAAGCGTTGGGACAATTTGCGGAGCTCGCTTCTTCAGACAGCGAGGAGGAGGAAGACGATGACCAAATGCAGATTGATGATGGGAAGCAGACTACACGAGCATGGGAAGAGAACGAACGTGACGAGGCACCTTATGCGTATGCAGGTGGGCCACAGAGTGATTCCTTAGCCACGACCACGCCACCACGAGCGGCAGATTTCAACCAATCCGCCCGGTCAGCTAGCGCCGCTCAAGAGGACGAGGTAATGCCTTTAGCAACAACAGGGGGAGCGACCACTGCTGCTGCCGCCCGGGCGACCGAGCAGCACTCACAGAGCCGATTGGAGATCACCACCACCAGCGCTGTGGTACGGTCCGCTCGCAAGGTCAAACAACTGTCTGGGAAAATAGGCCTACAGGATGGCGCTATTAAGGGGATGCAGAATAGTATGGCAACATATATCAAGAGCACGAAGCGTGCCGTGGAGGGGAAAACCGGTGAAGTGATTACTGCAGTGGTCTCCAAGCCCACACAGAGTGGAGACGGCCACGAACAGGAGGACATAGTGCCGGCAACTCCAACCTCCCAAGAGGATCTGACTTTTAAAAATAACGCGTATGGGCACTAACGAAGGGGACGCTGGTCTGCCCGTTCAATTAGGACAATGGCTAGTAAGATTCAATGGAACAGAAGTGGAGGTTGAGGCAAATGGTCAATGGTCAATGCGCCTTCCTTGCATTATACGCATCAACCACGAATCATTCAACGTCAAAACTCAAAAACGCAAGGGCAACGGTCCAACAGGTCACAAAGTTGAAGCAGTCAATTTACGCGCTCATGATGATGAATTTACGCAATGATGTCGCGCTAGGGCTCGTCGATCCTATAGCGGAGTGCGCTCGGCTGTATTCTGACCACCCAGGTTATGAATTCAAGGAAGGGGCCACTGCAGCGCTCTTTGCTCACTACGCCAGAGCCAGACTACGCTCAGCTGGAGAACCAGTGCCGCCACACCACTAGGCTGGTCCTCATGAACTTCGGACGATGGCGCAGTACTTGCGAGAACCCATACTGGTGTTCGACACAAGAGCTTCTAACGACGCCCACATCCAACGTTACCTATACAAACTTCTCCGACTCCCAAACAACGTCGATCATGAAAGCAGATATGTCGCGGCATTCACGGACAGGGAAGCAACAGAATATCTTAGAGCCAGCTTCGATCTTCACGTCCTCTCAACCTTTCTGGTCTTAAGGCATGACGAACGGCATTTTTATGGAGTCGGACACGGGGAGCTATACCTCAAATGGAGGGCGGAAGGAGACCCAGAGTTTGCTGCAGACATCTCGAACACGTTTTCATGGAAGAAAGATGTGAATAACCTGACAGACGCCGAACGCACCATGGACTTGGCCTCAGTAAACCAACTAGCGGACAGAGGGGGACGTCAACTCTATTCTAATTAAACGTCAAGAAATGAGAGCGCGGCTAGATGTCGTTCATGCCAGACTCGGACTACCCATCCTTGATGCGGCTTATCGCCAGAACGCCTCGGACGCAGATCTCCAACAGGAAGAACAACACATTCACGCAGCGTACGGGATTGACGCTTACTCAACTGGATCTCAGCAGGGATGAGACTAACGGGAACGGAGTGGTGTCTATGCCTACACGTTACGCTCGCCCTGCCTATGGTGTCCTTGTCCAAAACACTTACTTCAGAACTTCTTGCGCGCATCGAAGTCAGTTTCAATGGATGAGGTAGACGTGCCTCTTGCGGACTTGATAGCTTGGGCGTATCT